CCCGGCTAATTTTTTTTTTATTGTAGAGATGAGTTCTCGCCAAGTTGCCCGGGTGGGTCTCTGAGAAATTCTTGTCCTAGGTCCTTTTCAGCCCTAATGGTTTAAAGATTTTCTGAATTCTAATCACATAATGTTTTAAATCATCTAAGTCTTTAAGTGACGAAGTCATTTTAAAATTCCTAAATACAAAGCAACACTTTCCTATCTTGTTAACAGAAAAAGCTATCTAGGTAGCCTCAAAAATGACCTTCATGTGCTACATGGTGCTAGTTCCTTTCATTCATTCATTCATTGGTTCAGTCTTTGGTTCATTAAGACTACATCACACAGTCTTTTAGGCTCTACGGAAACACTAGCTGCAGGGGAGGGCGACTTTTATCCAGGCCCTCGTTGCTTCAGCAAGAATTCAGATTTTCCAAGTATTTAGATAGCGAGACAGTTATACATTTAATGTCACATATTACAAGTTGAGCATCCTTAATCCAAAAATCTGAAATTCAAAATAGGAAACATTTTAAGCATCAATATGAGATAGTGACACCTTTGTTTTCTGAGAGTTCAATGTACACACACTTGTTTTATGAACAAAAATTAAGAATAGCGTTGTATGAAATTACCTTCAGGATATGTGCATAAGGTGTATATAAGACAAATTTCATATTTACATTTGGGTTCCTTCCCCAAGATATCTCATTATGTAGTGTATGCACATATTCCAAATTCCAAAAGTCTTATCCAAAACGCTTCTGGTCCCAAACATTTTGGATACAAGATACTCAACCTATATAGGAAATTAAGAGAAGTTAGAGCTAGAAAGAAACCTCAGAAACACAGTCAGATAATTCCACCTCTTTATCTTTTAGGTGAGCCAGCGGAGAGACAGGGCAGCTTTGCTGAAGGTCAACTGCAGGTCTTTTTAGTCTGCCCCCAAATACTGAAACCTGAGCCTGTTGCTTTTCCAAGGAAGTCTCTAGTTCACAGACTCCTGGGCTATGAAATACAATTGCAAAAGTTTCTCTTCTAACAAGGAGTGCAGGCCGGGCTTAGTGGCTCTGCTTGTCATCCCAGCATTTTGGGAGGCTGAGGCGAGTGGATCACCTGAGCCTGCGGGTTCGAGACCCACCTGGGCAACCTGGTGAGACCTCATCTCTACAATAAATAAAAAATTAGCTGGGCGAGGTAGTGTGTGCCTGTAGTTCCAGCTGCAGGGGAGGGCGACTTTTATCCAGGCCCTCGTTGCTTCAGCAAGAATTCGGAGGGCTGAGGCGGAAGGATTGCCGGAGTCCAGCAGGTCGAGGCTGCGGTGGCCGGGAGCGGCCACTGCACTCCAGTCTGGGCGACAGAGTGAGACTCCAACTCAAAAAAAAAAAAGGAGTGCAACGTCTTGTGTATTTTAACACATTATTTTCTGAAATCCCACTGTTTGTTTGTAGATGTCAATGGCTTTGATGAGCAGGATTTGATATATGTATAAAAGAGGTTTCTGGAAGGAATCTGATGCTGTCCCAGGGAAAAAGCACACAAATCAATATTTGTTTGACTCTGCAAAGCTCATTCTATAAGATCACATTTTTGTTTTTAATAAAGAGCAAAAATGAAGTTTAGACAACATTCATGAGAAAATATACTTTTTGAGAGAAAGTGATTTTTGTTAGAAGCAATCTGTGTTATTTTGGCTTCTGTTCCTTGGAAATCAGATTCTCTATGCTAAAAATTCAACTTCTGCACAATACACGTGTACTGTGCAATCTGTATTTAATGAAAGTTTACAAATAGTATATAAAAGATAAGTTGGTAATCCATCCTCCCCCCAATGCTTTCCTATTTTAATAGGAAACACAACATGTCAGCAGAGCTGTGTAACAGAACTCCTGGGTACCACCCAGAATCCCTCACTCTACCTCCCTTGTCTCTGGCACTGTTAGCAAACACTGTTACCTCACAACACAGCTGGATCTGACCTATCTCCACTGCTACACACTGGCTTCAAGTACCATCATGCCTGGCTCAACGATGTAGACATGTTATGAGAAATGCATCCTTAGGTGATTTTGCTAGAGGCTAGCACCTTGATACTGGACTTCCTGTCTCCAGAACTATGAGCCAATACATTTCTGTTCATAATAAATGATCCAATCTGTGGTATTCTGTTACAGCAACACAAAATGAGCTAAGACCATTATTCACAATAGCAAAAACATGGACTCAACCGTGCTGCTCATTGAAAGAGGACTGGATAAAAAAAAAAGGGGGTACATATACACAATGGAATTACACAGTCATAAAGAAGGACAAAATTACGAACTTTGGATGGACTTAGAGTCTATAAAACTCAGTGATCTATCACAGAAACAAAGAACAGAGTGCCACATGTTCTCACTCACAAGTGGACCTTAAACAATGATCATAATACTGTGAGAAAGGGATTGGCAGTAGTGGGAAACTGCCAGGGGAGGCAGGGGCACACCTCATCAACATCGCTTAATGTTGTTGCTTAAGATAACTGCTTTAATGACTGTTTGTATACCTAACCCTGAATTATACCCCACATCTTTAAAATAAAAATAAAAAATAACAAAATATAGCTAAGACTATATATTTTTAATTGCACCTCGAATGGTCATACACGATAAAAAATAAGCTTTCTTTCTTTTTTTTTTTTTTGTGTTGGAGTCTCACTCTGTCGCCCAGACTGGAGCGAGAGCAGCCACCATAGCCTTGACCCGCTGGGCTCCGGCGATCCTTCCACCTCAGCCTTCCGAGTAGCTGGAACTACGGGTGCGCGCTACCATGCCTGGCTAATTTTTTGATTTATTGTAGAGATGAGGTCTCACCAAGTTGCCCAGGCGGGTCTCGAACCCGCAGGCTCAGGCAATCCACTAGCCTCGGCCTCCTGAAGCGCGGGATTATAGGCTGAGCCACCGAGCCCAGCTAGCCTTAAACTCTTAATCTGCTACACTGTTCATTTCAGTCTCTTAATTTCTCGTGTTTTTTTTTTTTATGAGTTGGAGTCTCACTCTGTTGCCCAGACTGGAGTGCAGTGGCTGCTCCTGGCCACTGCAACCTCGACCTGCTGGGCTCCGGTGATCCTTCCGCCTCAGCCTTCCAGGTAGCTGGAACTATAGGTGCGTGCTACCACGCCCAGCTAAATTTTTTCATTTTATTGTAGAGATGAGGTCTCGCTAAGTTGCCCAGGCAGGTCCTGAACCTACGGGCTCAGGCAATCCACTCACCTCAGTCTCCTAAGGCGCGGGATTACAGGCTGAGCCACTGAATAGCTTTCTTCTTTAAACTATTTTTCTTCTGCATTTTTTGGGCACACATTTCCAAGAACACACACAGACAAAGATCTGTGCAGCTTTCACCATGATGAGGAGACAGAGCAGTCTCCCTGCGCCCCCAAACATGTGCTACCCCTCTGGAGTCACAGCCCCCCGGCCCAGCCCCCGACCACCACGGGCCTGTTCCTCATCACCAGAGACGTGTCTTTTTAAGGCTGCCACGCACATGGAATCACGTATCTTTTGAGACTAGCTCCATGTCTCCAAGCGTAACACCCTTGAGGGCACTCCCGTTGCCGTGTGCCCAACAGCGTGTTCCTTTCGACTGCTGGGTGGTATTCCTTGTGTGAATACACCACCCCCACTGAAGCACACCTGTTCCCACACAGGCCGCAGTCAAGTCCCACCTCGGGGGTGGGCGGCAGCGTGCTGGACCCTGCTCAGCCTCTCTCTACTTACCGGGCAAAGACAGTGCCGCTGCCCCCCGGGAACGTGTAGGGGTGCTGCTTCCGGAACACGTGTCCCACGCGGCTGCACGGGATGATCTCTAGGCTGCCGCCACACTGCCAGACGCGGAATGAGATCTCTGCGGTGAGGAACAAGACGGGGTGACAGCAGAGCCCGAACACCGGTCCACGGCAGCGGCCATCCCGCCATCCCACGGCAGGCTCCTCCTGTCACTGCTGAAGGACACCCCGTAGGACGGCCTCTTTCCATCCACGGCCCAGAACTTTCTACAGGAGAGAGGCTTGACACAACCTGGATCTCGGGACTCCACAGTACGACCCAGGAAATATGTTCATGGGGAGGCATTTCTCAGGTTGGGACTAGACACCTCGAGGCAAGAACGATTCTTGGTCTACTTTGAATATAAAGGCCTCCTGGCACAAGGGCGGGTGCAGCCCAGTCATGTCACAACCAATGAAATGACTACACTGAACCCTTCACTAGCTGGTTCACGGTCATGGGGTGTGACGCTTTCACTTGCTCCATATCACACTGAGAGGAAAAACAACACCGAAGATGCATAAGCACCCACAATCAAGCGTTCGTGTTGGACGTTCATCTTATTTTCAACTAACTGAGCACCCAGATACATCTGTGCTTGTTTCATCCAGGAAAATCCTTTCACTTAAACTGCAAAACTTGTATGTGGCCTTGTGCATTAGCTGGCCTCAACACACCTGGCAGAGTTCACAGGTGCCTTCAGGGCTATGGTAGTGACCGAGGATGGTCGAGTAAGCAACCGGTGTCTCCAAGCTGCCCACAGACTCCCACCAGTCAGAAGCCAGCAGGCTCAAGTAGGCACAGGCCTTGAGAAGGGTGCTATCCACCTGCTTCCACATGGGCTGGACCTGCAGGAGGATTGGGATGTGCATGCCATGGCAGTGCCAACGCACCCAGGCCTCGGCACTCAGCAGAAGCTCAGCTCATGGCTGGCTGACACCCAGGACCTGCCAACCAGGCACCTGTCCTCATCCCCACCAATCAGGTGGATGACGGGAGTCTGAGTCAGAGATCTGAGTGAATTCAAGAAGCTGAGGTTAAACAGAACAACGAAGACGTGGCCTTCTGAAGGTTAAGACAGTTTTCCTGAAAGACTTCCTGGAGTTTGTGTCAAAGGGCCTTTCCTTTGTATCATCTAAGAGCCCTAAGAGCATGCTGGGGAGGCAAGACAAAAACTGACAGTTACTGCAAATGACAGGGCTTTGGTATTTTTATGGCTTCACAGTATTCCCAGGACACGTTATGTACAATCAGCTAGGAACAGAAAGTTAAACACCGCATGTTCTTACTCATATGCGGAAGCTCAAAAGAAGTTAATCTCATGGGGGGGGGGAAGTAGAGCAGAGGATACCAGAGGCTGGGAAGGGAGGGACAGGGAGACACTTGTTAAAGGACATAAAATTACAACCAGACAGGAGGAACACGTTCCAGTGTTCTACAGCCTTGCAGGATGACTATGGCTAACAATTATATATAGCTTGAAACAGTGAGAAGGACAACACCGGGACATTCCCAACACAAAGAAGTGATACAGGCTTGAGATGATGGATATGCTAATTATCCTGATCTGATTCTCATCTGTGACATGTATTGAAACATCACTGTGTATTCCGTGAATAGGCACAAATGTTGTCAATGAAGTTTTTATAATTTTAAAAAGTATAAGTACACGTAGAAAGATCTACAGCTAAGCAGTCACTGCCGCCAGTGCAGAAATAATGGGGGACCAGACCAGACCAGACCATGAGGTGAGTGGATGGCTCAGTCCTCCGGATACAGCAGGTGCCTACCCCACAGAGCACAAGGTGGGAAACACCACTCCATTATGGACAACATGAATTTCTACATGGGTCTGGCAAATGCAAGTAGTAGGAAAACCCTCACTCACTAAGGATGGGACTTCAATAAGCAATGCCTTTGTAGTAACAGAAAACCTACGGTCAGAGCCACCCCAGCATATGCAATGAGGGTTTCCAACTTTCCTTTTTACAGCGTCCAGCACAACTTTGAGTAAGTTGTCTGTATTTTAGAAAATAGAATTTAAATGTACATTCACCTCATTGAACATTCAAAATTTGGGGCTCGGGAGATCCCTTGGCTTCTCTGAGGGGAGTTGGTGAAACTGTTCAGGGGTTTTTGGCAGAAGATTTTCAAAGCTAAGTAGTTATCATCTTCGAATCTGACTTCATTTGAACCCCGCAACTGAGGGCAATTCCCAAGATGACTTGGGCCTTTGAATGAGGCAGTCAGTGTCTGCATCTTGGCTTGAGACCCCAGACAGAGCGCAGGTCCTCTGCAGAACACACTCCACTTGGAAAGCACAAACTGAGACACACTTAGTGCCATCCTAACATCCCTGGGACTTCCTGAGAAGGACGACTCATGTCCCCAAGAAGCCTCGTCCCTACACCTTTAGAGCTAAGGGTCAGGTTTTTGGTCCTCCTGTGTAATCACTTAATTACACAGGGCTTAACCTTTCTTCTTAGGAAAATGGGTGGTTCCAGTTGTTCTGAGGGGGCAGGTGTTGTGGAGGTGGCCTTGGTTTTACCTGGGCATCCCCGCGCCCCACACCTGTTCTAACACACACTCACAAGGGCCCCTCAGGATGGGCAGTGGCCGGTGGTGTGCACAGCACCCAGAAGGAGCAGTGCTAAGGAGAGAGAGTGCCTCAATGTGACTTTTTTGTGTGAAATCCTCAGGCCTGCCCAGCCTTTATGGAGCGGAAGTGTCCTCAGGAGCAAGCCATCAGAGCCAGTCAAGGAAGGAGAGATGCCCAGGTGGGGCTGGGCAGGGTGCGCTCCAGCTCATGGAGGGGGAAGAGGGTAGGGGAGGGAGTCCTGACTGCCACCCCGCCCCCTCAGACCTTTATGCTGACCTCGCACACAGCACGGCTACATATACATAAAAACCCAACCAGTGAAACACCAGCTCCTTCAAACAAGTTCAGTCCTCTCTCCGGTCTCTGGGTACCCTTCCTAGGTTTAAACCAACACCCTCTTCACCATGACACAGGTACTGGCTGACAGCTCACCTGCTTCATCAGTGAACAGCACACATACTTCTAAAAGCCACACTGCGTTTTTGAGAAATGGTCACCTAAGTGATACATGGTCCCACTGGGTGGCCCTGGCTGGTGGCTGGGTTTCTACCGAGCCATGAGAGGATACCAGTGGAGCAAGGGTGACAGAGAATTTTCCTTAGAAGGTTAACAATTTTGAAGCTTTCTGTACTCAAATGACTTCCATCCAAGCCTTACCTAGAGGTCAATGGGTCATTTAAAAAAAACCCAAGAGGAGTTTGTTTCATGGTCCCCGGGGTCCCGGGGTATAGTGATCAAGTCTAAAGAAGCTTCTGACATCAAACCAAGGCGGAGAAGACTTCCACAGATGAGACATTATCGTTAACTTCCACAGCATAAGATAACAACAACAACAAAAAGACAAGCTAGGCTAGTCTTGTCTTAAAGGACAAAAAGTATCAAAGTCTCTGTTACTAGTAAAAATCACTAAAAATAAGTGGCCTGCTTTTCTCCTTCTCTTCGTGTCCCATCCTCCAAGGGTACACACACCCAAGGATGAATGCCAGTTACCACTCCATAGCCCAGGAGAATTAGCTCAGAACTCCAAGTGCTTGAAATTAAAGGCTTCAAGTGAAACAAGAAAAAGACAAAAAGCAAAACAAATCTCCCAAACCCTAAGCTAACAAAATAAGTCTTCTCCTCTTCCGTGCAGTAAATATGAGGCTACATATAGACCACAATCTATAAAATTCTGCTGTCCCTACACCTGGATAAAAATTATTTACATGGGTTATTTTTTTAAGAAAAAACCAAACAAAATTAGAACCATTCACAAAAGTCAAGAAGGGATTAATGTCCAGGCCTTCCCAGCCCATCTGATTTCTGTGATTATAACTCGATCAACTCCACCAGCCGTGCCAGGGCTTCATCGCCATTCTCCAAGCTGGACATGAACATAGCAAGCTTGTACTCCAAATGACATTAAGGCGTTTGCGTTTCCCTTCAAGGACTTGATCTGTGTTCTAGCTCCGGCACTCTGACTTGGGGTGACACCTTTGAATGCCCAGCTCAAGACCCTTTCAAGGCGAAAGGAGCGCTCTGCGTGTGCTTGCAGGGACCAGGTATGCCGAATGAAGGGGGACTGCAGCCCTCTGAAGTCCCTCCCCCAGCACTCGGCCTTCCCAGAGCTGAGGCGGTCAGGCTGCGAGACGGAAGGCGCGGACGTACCCAGGTTCTCTCCTCCCCACACGTCCATCATCATGTCGTACTTCCCGAGTTCTTCAAAGTAGAACTTGTCCATCACGAACAGCCCGCCAGCAATCATGGGGGTTCTGAAGAGGCGGAGAGAAGAGTGGGAGGAGGAGAGGCCAAAGGTCAAGGCTGGCCACCAGCACCCTTCTGCCCAAGCCCAGCTGCCATTCCCAACGACAAGCCGACCTTCAGCACAGCCGTGCAGCCGCGGCTTTCTGCCCAGAGCCTGGCGCCCCTCTCTGCCTGCCCACTGCTGCCTTCACAGGTCTCTCCACTGTCCCTGCCTGGGGGCTCCCCCAGAGCCGGGGGCTGGACCGAGCTTCCACTGCGAGCAAGTGCCTGCTGGGGCTGGGCCACGTGCTGACAAGTCGCCCCTGGTGAGGAACTTAGCCTTTCTGTGCCTCAGTCTCCGTCTGAGATGACCAGAAGGACTGCAAACGCTCCAGGCACGAAGCCCTGGGCATCCTGGGAAACGCGCCACAGCATCAGCTCTCATCATCACTACCTTGGGCGCTCTTCCTCCCTAAGAGGTTCCTCACCTCCGCATCACCCCGGGAGGGGTTCACAACAGATGGGACTGAGCTTCCTGCTTTGTTCCCAGTAGAGATGCTGTGAGAATTAAGTGTAAAGCGCTGGAAAAGTCCATCGCACACTGTGGATGTTGGGTAAATGTCAGCAAATACACTTCGGCAGCAGATGCTCTTTCAGATGCCGTCTCACACAGTCGTGTGTCAACTCTGAGCAGGTATCCCCCATCTCTCCCAGCTAGAGAAGGCATCCCGACTTCCAGCCCACAGTTTTACCGCATGGCCTGGGAATCTAAAGCCTGGGGTTCATGAGCACAAGTTCCCTCCTCTGTGGGTGACAGGAGAACAGCTGAGCAGTGGCAGCAACGAGACTTTTGGAGGCCCACCGCCCCTCTTCTCTGGTCCCTCAGGTCGGCTGGGAGACCCCTCCCCACTGGGGAAAACGCTCGGCATCATAAACATGCAGAAACACGCAGAACCAGCAGATAGGCCTTATAAACATACATCAGATATCAGAGGAAAAGGAATCTCGAAGGACTTTATAACCTGGTGACAGGTGCTTGTCCTCAGGAAGGCAGAAGGTGAACAGCCTGGCCAGGCAGAAGGGCTGGAGCCAGGCATCTCTCCCTGAAGGATACACAGCACTTACTTTATGGGGGCGACCGGATTCCCCTGTCGGGATCTTCTCTGCTCAGGCGTCATGTAATCCCACTTGAACACCAAGTTCCAATCAAAACCTGCCAGGAAAGAAACAGGGCATTGACAAGAGACAATCATTTGTTTCTGACACCCTCACAGCTTAAGAGCATCTGATATCGGGATGGGACTCAATAAACAAAAAAACTTAGCCAAAAAAATGAAGAAGGCGTGGAGGGCGGAGAGAGGGGCTGGGGCTGGGACTGGAGGCAGGAGAGAGACCAGCGAGCAGAGGATACCCTGGAATCTTCTCCCCGCCCTCTCCAAAAGGAAAGGCACAGGAAAGAATGCAAAATGCAGAGAGATCTAGAGTCTGTGATGACACCACAGCATAACCAAGGGTGTAAGGAGGGGAAAGAGCACCCAAGAGGAAGCTCGGCCTCCAGTGCTGCCGCACGGGAAGGGAACGCTGGGGACGGGAGGGTGCCATTGGTTCCCTCGGCCTGCAAACCTGAAGCTGTCCGTGGCAACAGCGGAGCAGGGGCAGGCTGGGAGTCTGAAAACTTTTAGATGAGAACGAGCCAGGGAAGTTGCAAAACCAGGCAAGCCAGCCTCGGTTTCTGATAAATCTGGCACTCTCCCCGTTTCATCCGAGGATCCACAGACCACTGAGGAGCCTGGGCCTTGGACCTGGACTCGGCTTCGAGCATTTACAGGGCCTCAGGCCTTGCTCACAAGGCAACCCGGCTCTGCCGCTTGGAGGCCAGCACAGCACCCTGGTGAAGAGGCCCTGATGCACAAGACCCCTTCCAGGTGCGCCTCACAGGGCTGCATTTCCAGTTCCGAGTCTCTGACTGCCAAACCGAGTTACTCTCAAGCCATGGAGCTTCCAAGCCCATGCTCCTAAAGCTCTCTGCCCTCAGGCTGTCGACAGACTTTTGCAATGCCCAAGTCTGGATTTCCCATCCCAGTACCTTGAATTCAGGGGCTGTCGGGCACAGCTGCCCTAGGGACCAAAGGATGGGAGGCGGCGAGAGGGGGAGCGAGTCTCCTGGGAGGCCAAGCACACGTTACAGCTCCAGACCTGCGCAGGAGAGCAGGCCCAGGCACAGGGAGTGAGTGGCAGGGTGCTGGCGGGGGGCGGGCAGTAGTGCAGAGAGGAACCCACGCAGGGTTGAGCCAGCTCTGCCCAGGTACCTCAAAGGCAGTAGAAGCAAAACAAGGAAAACAACGTCCTGGCTGTTTTACTAATAGAAAATGATAAAGGCCAATCAGCAAAATACAACCTTTTTTAATGTTTTAAAAATTATCATTTTACTTATCTGGTTCAATGAGACAAGTTATAATAGGTTAAAGCCTGACTAGAAATGTCATCCCTGAGTTTTTTCCTACAGGAATTTCATAGAATGCTCTTAGAGCAAGTGTGGTCCCATCCTTCTACCCAGCAGAAGGCCTGCTTCACACACACAGCATCCTGCTGTCCTTGGCCCTGGCATACGCGGCTGCCCTGGGAGACGCAGAGTCCACTAGATCGCAGTTTTTCCAGGTACTCAGGGAATCAGACATCCTGAAAACCAAGCATTCTGGCTATCCAGGGATGTCCTCTTTAAAACCCCCAAACACTCTACATCTCATCCTTTGTTACAACTCTTTCCCCAATTTCATGCCTCCCAACGTAGGTACCATTTTCCAAGCAGCCTGCCCTCCTGTGGATGCCCCGGGTAGCAGGGCTGCAGATGCCAACGGGGCACTGGTCTTGCCATTCTAATGTGGACAGCATGAGGATCACCCCGTTTCTCAGGAGGGGAAGGGGAGGAGAAGTGAGAAAGCACACCTGTGATGTCCAGGACTGTGGCCTCGTCTCCCTAGACAATCCCGGCATTCTGTTTTTTTGAGTTTAAGGTCCAGTTTTACAGTTCTACTGCTGTCTTTTGTTTGACATAAGACTGTCAGTTGATCTTCTGTCCAGTGTCTGGAAGAGTCCACCTTCTAATTAGCTAAAAACGCGAGGAGGTGGGACAGAAGTCCCTAGCTTGACGTAAAGAAATGAGGGTGCTAAATACTTGGAAAGAGTTCATGGCCTCAGAGATGAAGACTCTGCAGGCCTGGGAGATGGCTGTCCATTCACTTTCTAATGGCGAACTCACACCATCATTAGGCAAGAAACTCTGACATCTTTAAGCTGTGCAGAGCAGCCTTTGCTGATTCCTCAGTTCTCAGCTGAGCTTTATAGGCGAGGATCCCAACTGGCTGAATTTCAGGGTGTGAAGCATTTATGACTGGGTGCAGTGGAGCCTTCTGGGGCACAAGCCACCCCTCCACCCACCCTGGTCCTGGGACTCGGGGACAAAGAGCAGGAGCCATTCACGACCCGGCTGGCTCCTCGCCAAAGGGCGGGTGGGACTCCTAGCCATCCACCAGTATGTGAAGCACTTTTAAGACCAGCAGTATTTCAGGTATGGCCGGGAGCCCCTTTTAGAGGGTGCCTGGTCTCAAAACGGTTTTCATATTTATACCAAGGCCTTACGTGTCTCTTTCCACCTCAGGCCTTCAGAAGTGCATGGTGAGTTTTCCAGAGACTGCAGGCGGATGGAGGATAGGAACGTGCTCGTATTTCAGCTTGTGCTTTTAAACCGTTTCTTGGCTTCAATGTCTAATATGGTGAATGTCAAAACACACAGTCTGCACACACGAAAGCTCTTTGATGCCTTGGATAATTTCTAAGAGAGTAAAGAGGTAAATCTCCTGGGCTCCATGGGCAGTGGGTCCCACGTGGGGGCTGTGAGGACCTCCAGGACACTGGAGTGGCCATTCCGACAAAAGGTCTCCCAGGAGTGAACCAGGGATGGGTAGGTGACAGGGAGGGAGGGGCCAGATGGAAGACCTGGTGCCTAGGGGGCATGGCCAGGGAGGAAGGCAGCCATGACACAGGCCTGCATCTGGGTGGCCAGCCAGAAAAACAGGCTATCAGAAACAGGTGGGGGGAGCAGAGGGGAGGACGGGCTCCAGTCCCTGCGCCCCAGAAGACAGCTCTGTGGGCCGCCTCATCTCAGGCCCCGAGGGGAAGGCTCTGTCACCTCTGATCACAAAGGGCGCCACAGCTGTTCACTGAGCCACGAGGCTCACAAAGAGCAACAGGTCGAGAGACCTGAGGAGAACAGGAAGCCTAGGGAGCTCTGTGAGGGAAGCAGGGCTACATCTCTCTTGCGGAAGTCCTCCTCTCAAGCACACAGGCAATTTTTACGAGGAACACACACACTGGGATGTGACCACTGCTGTCCCCGGCACTCCTGACAAGGAGTGGGCATGATCTGACGCCAGTGTCGACAGGAAGAGCCAGGCACAGATGGACCAGGCCCGACACCTACCGCCCTTCAAGTCAGCAGATGCCCCCACGTACTGAAAGTTGTCCATATTGATGACATCGATGATGGGTGACACAACCCGAGTCCTGTCCTAAAATACAAAGAAAAGATAAGAAAGAGCAGACAAGAAAAGTCCCAGAAAAACTAAAGTACCTCCTACCCAAGGAAGTCATCAGTGACAGGTATTCATAGGACACATCCGACAGCCCCACACCAGCTACTGTCCTCAGCCCATGAAGGCCCAGTCTCTGAACATCTTGGCTTAGCCATCGACAGATGAAAGCTGTGGTCTGTGCCAAGGGAAGTCAGAAGTGGGTATGCAGCAGGGATTGTTCCGTGAGAGGAGACACCCACGCTCATGAGACAGTTCGGTCATTGTTCACCCAGCTAAAGGCAGGGACTGTGCCAATGTGCCCCCAGGGTCCTGTACTGTTCTCCCAAATATCAGAATTTCAACCACTGGGTAGCTTTCATGCTCACAGAATCTAAGATCAGTTGGGCTTAACACCAGTAACTTTTGAGCTGCAGTAAACCTTAGGAGTGGACTCACTTCTAAAATGTCCACACAACAGAGTTGGGCATCTACTTCTATGGATCTATGTGTGAGGGAGGTATCTGTCTCTGTGTGTGTGTGTGTGTGTGTGTGTGTGTGAGAGAGAGAGAGAGAGAGAGAGAAAGAGAGAGAGAGAGAGGAGAGAGAGACAGAGAGAGACAGAGATGGACAGTATCAGTATCACTGTACCAGAACATAAACCTAATCAATTAGACATGGCCAAAGTCTAAGTTTGTCTTATTTGAGATCCTACGAAAACATAAAAAAATTCCACCCCGAATTGAGCCATTTTTGGTGCCACCTGGTCATTCTGATAACAGTTTGTGAACATAAGGTCTCTCTGCTTCTCTGACCTCTTTACATGTGAATGACTGATGCTGGTGAGGGACACTGCAGCCCTGCCTCCTGCTGACAGTTAACCAAAGCTTTCCTCTGGTCACTTACAGAATCCTTGTTAGCCAGAAGAAAGATTTAGAGAAGCAGTTTGGCAATGCAATCAGCAGAGCTACACACACCATCCATCAGAGGAGCACGTCAGGAACACACCTATTAGGCACACACGGACATAGCAAGTGCCAACACCACCCAGGTGCAAATTCACAGGGAGCAGAAACGACAGCACCACAAGCAGAGAGGAATGACATTTCCTTGCCTGGCCTGTCCGCCCTAGAGGTGATGTGCTTTATACTTCTTTTGATAAGACAAGCATCAGTGAGTATTAATAACTTCCACACTTCCTCTCCTTCGTCTAGGAGGGGCTGTTTGAAACCGTTCTGACAACCGACCACAGAAGCAAGCAGCCTTTGCACTCTCCAGTATGGCGGCAGCGCCGGTTTTGGGGCTGTGCTTTCCAGCCTGGGGGAGGGAGAAGCCATGGGGGTGGGACGGGTGGGGGTTCTCCTCTGATGTAGGTGTGTGCCTGTGTGTCAGAGAAGGGCTCAGTTCTTTAATGAAACCTGCTTTGTGATCCTGGCTCTGCCACCTGCATGATTTTGGAGACGCTCAAGTTCCCTGAACCCGGTTGCCCATCTGTCAAACAAGGGTAAACCCTGCATAAAAAGTCCCTAGCATATAATTCAAACTCAGTGAGCGTCAGTGAGTACCACTTTCACAGTGACTAGTAGCAGGTGGTCACTCAGTATCTCCGTGACTTACGGCCCATCAGCCAGTCTTGCTACGCTTAGGCAGAATGACTTGTTCGTTTTCTATTTCCTTTCATTAAGTTTTCTTTATTGCCCCCAAGGAAGTGCTTTCTTAGCAGGAAGGAAAGAAAAGTCAATAAAACAAGCAGAAGGCAAGCGGAATGACAAAAGGCCAAATGTAATATTCGAGATGATGTTTCCAGAAGGCAGAGAAGCAGGAAGCATAGCCACGGATCACCCTCTGACAGCCGCACCGATCGCTCTGTGGTTTCCTTTCTCCCAGGAGCCCAGTGGGCTGACCTGCCAGCCTCACTAAGAGTAGAGGGGGGTCCAAGAACGGCTGCCCCCACATGACCCCCCCTGCATCAGACACTCGCCCGACGCCAGGCACTGCCTAACCACTGTGAAGCTGCAGGCAGGGAAAACATGCACCTAAGAGCAGGGCTGTCTTCAACGAATCAGGCTTTCGCCAGCCTCTGCTGACCGTTGCCCGCCCTGTCACCTCCTACCGATAGCGTCCCACAGCCAATAAATACTCTTGGAACAGACACCCCGAGGCCTCTTCTCTCCATGCCGGCAGCCGAGAAAACCACAGTCCGAGAAAACCACAGTCGGCGCCCCCTGGTGCCACCGGCCCGCCAGCCCCTCGCTCCCCCGCGGCTCCCCCAACTCCCGCTCCGGCCCCCACCCAGCCCCCTCTCCCCACCATCTCACCTCGGCCACCCTCTCCAGGAGGGGCTCCAGCCAGTGCTCATTACACTCGCAGTGACTGTCCAGGAAGGTCAGGACCTTGGCTTGGGCGGCATCAGCCCCGCGAACCCGCGAGCGCATCAGGCCTGAGGAAGCGAGTTCAAAGCCGTCAGGGCGGAGAGTCTGCAGTATCCCGGGGGAAGAACAGCAGGCCCAGCACCTGCCGGCGACACCACCCTGCCCGCGGCTCTGCCGGCCACTACTAGGTCTGGAGTTCACGGCAAACTTGTCTGATTGGGTCAGTACCACCTGGCGGTTACCCAGACAGATTTCTGTCAAGACTTTTTTTTTTTTTAATAGTTGGATTGACTGGAAATACAACTTTCTTTGAACTACTACCTTCTGAGAAAGACCTTTATGTACATTAAGCCTCCTGTATCAAGCAACCCAAATGTGGAACTTTTAAACTGTTTTTCCTCTGACACAGCAACAGAGTTTTCTAACTAATTAGGCTAAGGAAGGTGTCACCTAAACATTTCCAAGTGCTAATGGTGATGGTGTTAGTGGTGATGATATCTGTAACGGTGTTGCAGATCTCTCTGTCTTCCAAGACTTATCGTGAGCCAAATAATGTAAATCACAAAGCCCCGTTGTCTGTCTTTTACACAGAATTTGTGACATTATGGACCTATTACACATTTTATAGCCTTGTGGTCTGTTGATAACATGCATTTGCATTATGACACAAAGTCTCATGACAGAGAGCAGCCCTGGATGCTGTGGTCAGAAGTGGCTGCTGGGAACTACAGACGAAGATGACTCGCAGCCAGTGAGGACAAGTGTTCAAAGTTCCTTTTCACACAGTCCAAGTGGGGTTTCAGTGACTCTTACATAGCTGCCTGCTAGAGCACGGAAAAAGACTAAAGACTTCTCGTTGTGGTAACTGCGAAGTAACTTTGGGCAAGCCTTTGTTCAGAGAACGATTCTAAACTCTGAGCAAAATACAAAACGCAACCATTTGAAAGGGCTGGAGAGTAGCCAGAAGCAGGCAGAAACTAGAGAGAATCGAACATAAAGGAAGATCACACTGAATGATACCCATGTTTACATGGCGTTTCCCCTGAGGTTACCCCCCCAGTCCACCAAAACGCAGGCTTTCTGGCTGAGTTGTCAGAGAAACGACGCCAGGACTTCCAGTCTCTGAAAACCGAAGGAAGAGATCCTGGGAAGGAGGGAGGCCCCGAATCTGGCGACGATGTCCCCGCGTATCGCTGGCTGCCTCCTGAGCCATGCAAGCTGGGACTCTCACATGAAAAGCAGCGGTTAGAAGGCAAAAAGTTTCAGCTGCTGTCTGCCGCAGAGGAAAGAGGGTGAGATGTGAGCCCTGCCAAGTTGAAAGGACTTGGTGAACACCTCAGTTCTGTAGAAATTCTAGAAGGACTACACTTAGGAATACAGTCTAAGTCTCAGGAACAAGGGATTCATCCAAGACACATGAATCCTAGCCAAGCGCAAGCCTATATAAGTTCGGGGTCATCATCTAGTAATTAAGCTGCCCAGTATAACCAAGATCAATACTCTTGAGAGAAAAATAACATAATTCAATGTGTCTGCAACATATTACCTACAATGTCCATTATAAGATAAAAATAATTACTACACATGCGAAGAAATAGGAAAATATGGCCCACACCAAAGAGGAAAAAAGAAGTCAATAGGAATTCATCCTGAGATGACCCAGATGTTGGAAATAGCAGATGAAGATTTTAAAAGCAGTTATTATAAATATGTTCAGGAACTCAAAGGAAACAATGGTTTTTTTGTTTTATTTTGTTTTGTTTTGTTTTGAGTTGGAGTCTTACTCTGTCACCCAGACTGGAGGGCAGTGGCAAGCTCCTGGCTACCGCAGCCTCGACCTGCTGGGCTCCGGCGATCCTTCTGCCTCAGCCTTCCAAGTAGCCGGAACTACAGGCACCTACTACCACGCCTGGCTAATTTGTTTGATTTATTGTAGAGACAAGGTCTCGCCAAGTTTCCTGGGTGGGTCTTGAACCCACGGGCTCAGGCAATCCTCTCCCCTCAGCCTCCCAAAGTGCTGGGATTACAGGCTGAGCCACTGAGCCTAGCCGGAAACAATGGTTTTAACAAGTAAACCTTAAAGGTGGAGAATCTCAACAAGCGAAAACTACAAGAATCAAATGGGTATTCCAGAACTGAAAAATAAAATGATCTGAAATGGAAAATTCACTGATAGGTCTTAATAGCACATTGGAGAAGGTAGAAAGACTACTGAACTTGAAGATGAGTAAAAAAAAATAGATTTATCTGGTGAACAGAGAAAAAATATCAAGGGGGAAAAAAAGCCTAAGTGACCTTGACCCATGGGACAATCTCAAGTGTTACAACATATGTGCAACAGGAGTATGAGAATGAGACAGAAAACATACATGAAAAATCAAAGGGCCAATAATTCCCCCAATTTGAAGGAAAACATCATCTTACATATTCAACAGGATCAGCAGACTTGAAGCAGGATAAATATAAAGAAAACTATATTTAGGAATATCACCGTCAAACTGCTAAAAAGCAAAGCTGTAGGCCGGGCACAGTGGCTCACATCTGTAATCCCAACACTTTGGGAGGTAAGGCAGGAGGAATGCTTATGACTAGGAGTTCGAGACCAGCCTGGGCAATACAGTGTGTCTCCACAAAAAGTCAAAAAATTAGCTGGGCACACGACTGCAGTCCCAGCTACTCGGGAGGCTGAGGTGGAAGAATCGCCTGAGGCTGAGGTAAGCTACCATTGTGCCACTGTACTCTATCCTGGGCAACAGAATGAGACTGCCAACTCAAAACACACATACACACACACACACACACAAAACAAACTATAGAGACAATCTGGAAAGTTGCAAGAGGAAATAATCCATAGTATGTAGCATACAAGGCAACAACATATGAATGGCAACTGCATTATGAACAGAAAAACAGGTCAGACAATATTGGAATGACATTTTCAGGGTGCTGAAAGAAAAATTAATGGTCAACTCAGAACTCCACTCAGAGGACATATCCTCGAATACTGAAGGAGAAACTCTTCAGATAAACAAAGCTGAGACTGTGTTGCCTATAAGAAAAATAAATTTCTAAAGGGAAGCCTATTTCCAATGAGACAGGAATCTGAATCTACAGAAATTAAGATACGAAAAATGGAAAACTTGAGGAACATGAGGAGAAGCTTATCAGTCTTTCTGCATATTCTTACCTTAATTTCTTTAATAGATCACTGATAATTTGAGACAAAAATCTAACATTGTATTGTGGGTTTTAAGACACATATGGAAGAAAAACATGTGATAACACTAGTACACAGGATAGAGAACAGAAATGGAATTAAACTGCTGCAAGGTTCTTACATTTTATGTGAAGAAGTATGACACTGACTCTAAGTAGACTGTTTTAAGTTAAAGGTGTATTCTGTCATCATCAGAGCAACCACATACATATAAAAGTTGAGCTAAAAGCTACAATAATAATTCAAACAAAGCACTAAAAAAAAAAGCAACTAATCTGAAAGATGGCAAGAGAGTAGGACATCAAAAAGTACACGAGATAAAGAGAGAACAAATAATCAAAGAGTAGGCCCAAATCCAATCATACCAATAACTACACCACATATAAATGGACTAAACACTCCAATTAAAGGCAAAATTTGTTAGACTGGATTTTTAAAAAAGCAAGATCTAATTATGATAAGAGACATACTCTAGCCATAAATAGATTGAAAACGGGCAGAAAGGGATATACTATACAAATAGAAAGTAAAAGAAAATTGGTGAGCTATACTAATATCGGACAGAGCAGACTTCAAGACATGAATTATTACCAGACATAAAGAGATATTTTATAATCATAAGGTAAATTCATTGGAAAGATATAACATTTCTAAACGTGTATGTTCATAATAGCCTTCAACCATAGGAAGCAAAAGCAATCAGAATAAGGAGGAGAAATAAACAAATCCTCAAACATAAATGACTTTAACAAGCTTCTCTCAGTAACTGACAGAAAAAGCAGACCAGAAAAATCCATAAGGACTTAAATATCTCAACATTACTGATCATTTTGATCTAATTTATATGGATAAATAGATAGATGATGGATAGATATTCTTTGAATTGTACTTGGAACATATTTAGGCCATAAGATATTTAAAATTTCCAAAAGATTAGAATTTTACAGAGTATATGCTCTGAAAAGATGGAATTAAATTAGAAATCAATAAGTAACTCAAAAGCTCAAGCATATGGGAAACAAAGAACATAAATAATCTGTGGTTCAAAGAAAAAATCATAAAGAAAATTAGAAAATATTTCAAACTAAATGATAATGAAAATATAGCATATCAAAATTTGTGGCATTAAGGTAAAGCAGTGCTCAGACAGAAATCTGTAGCTTTAAGTGTTTATATTTGCAAAGAATATCAGCAACCTAAGTTTCTACTTTAAGAAGTTAGAAAAAGGCAAATTAAGCGCAAAGAAAAAGGAAAGAAACAACAAAAATAAAAGCAGAAATGAACAAAAAAGAAAACAGAGAAAAAAACCCCAGAAAGTTAACAAAGTCAAATGTTGATTCTTTTAGAAGGTTTAATATAGTTGATGAACCTCCAGCAGACAGATCAAGAAAATAAGAAAATACAAACTACCCAAAACCAATAATAAGAGAGAGGATATTAATACTAGTCGTACAAACATTAAAAAGATGATGAGAAAATATCATAGCCAACTTTATGCCAGTAAATGTGAAAACTTTTAAAAATGGAAAATTTCTTTAAAGACACAAATTACCAAAAAAAAAACAAACAAAAAAAACCAAAAACACCACACACAAAAACAAGCAGAAAATCTAAATAGGCCTATATTCATTAAAACAATTAAATTCGTTACCAAAAATCTTTCCATTAAAAAAAACAAAAAAACTCCCAAAAAACTCCTGGTCCAGACTGGCCATTTCTATCAAATATTTAAAAAATAAAATAGAAGTGCACACTTTCCATTTTGTTTTATGAGGACAGTATAACCCCGATACTCAAACCTGAAAAATACATTAGAAGAAAACTACAGACTAACATTTCTCACGGACACAGATGTAAGCATCTTTAACAAAATAGTAAAAATCCAGAGGGTGCCAAACAAATGTATACACATTTTAAGAAAAGGAAAAACTATTAAAGTTGCAATCCTCAATATATACCAAGGATGAGACGAATACAAGTCATGTCTGCCTGCTGCAACCGCATGAGCTGCTCCAAGTGGTTACCACCAGCATGCAGACACTTCTGACTGGGGCAGACGACCGCAGGACTCGCTGCTGTGCAGCCTCACCTGCTGGGCTCCAGCGATCCTTCCACCTCAGCCTTCCGAGGAGCCGGAATAACAGGCGCGTGCTACCACGCCCAGCTGATTTTTTGATTTATTGTAGAGATGAGGGCTCGCTGCCCAGGCAGGTCTTGAACCCGTGGGCTCAGGCAATCCACTCACCTCAGCCTCCCAAAGGTGCGGGATGACAGGCTGAGCCACCGAGCCCGGTTTGGTCTCAGATTTCAAACACCAATGCACAACGGTCTTGTGCTCCTAAAACGACAACCGGGCTTCCGCCATTTTCGCTGGCTGTCCTGCCTGCTGCACGGTGGCACTAGGACTTGTTTGATTAATGCCATCTTTTGAGTGAATGTCATACTGCACACTGCTTCATAATTCAACTTGGAAAAGTAACACATGGATAACATCTCTTAAAATGTGTATCCATTTTTTTTGGCACTTGTGTATATAAAAATGATACAACATCATGACCAAGTGAGGTCTATACAAGGAATTCAAATTTGGTGTAGCTTTTGAAAATCAACCATGCATTTCACTGTATTAACAAACTAAAAAAGAAATGTGGCCAGGTGCGGTGGTTCACGCCTATAATCCCAGCACTTGGAGGTTGAGGTCAGAGGACTGCTTGAGCCCACGGGATCGAGACCAGCCTGGATAACTTGGCGAGACCTCATCTCTACAATAAATCAAAAAATTAGCTGGACATGGTGGTGCGTGCTTGTAGTTCCAGCTACTTGGAAGGCTGAGGCAGAAGGGTTGCCTGAGCCCAGCAGGTCGAGGCTGTGGTGGCCAGAAGTGTGCCACCGCCCTCCAGCCTTGGTGGCAGAGTGAGACTCCAATTCAAAAAAATCAAACCAAACAAACAAAAAAAGAAATGCTATCTGATTATCTCTATAAATGCAGAAAGACATAAATTACTAACATGGTTTTGGCCCTACTGTTGCTGTTAAGTAGCCACATGCCCTTAAGAGAGCCACTAACCTCTTTGAGTTTTAATGTTTCCATCTGTAAAATGGAATAGAAAGACTAGGTCCTCAACTTTCAGTGTACATCAGAATAATCTAAGCAGCTTTTAAAAATGCAGATGCCCAGGCCTCACACATAGAAATCAAGAAATTTCTATTTAATTGCGAGGGGTCAAGGCATGGTCTTAACTTCTTCAGATGCTTCTGATAAATTGCTAGATTAAGAATAGATTCTTGGCTGGGCTTAGTGGCTCAGCCTGTAATCCCAGCACTTTGGGAGGCCGAGGCGAGTGGATTACCTGAGCCCGCGGGTTCGAGACCCGCCAGGGCAACTTGGCGAGACCTCATCTCTACAATAAATCAAAATTTAGCCAAGCGTTGTAGCACACACCTATAGTTCCAGCTACTTGGAAGGCTGAGGCGGAAGGATCGCCGGAGCCCAGCAGGTCGAGGCTGCGGTGGCTGGGAGCTTGCCACTGCCCTCTAGTCTGGGCGACAGAGTGAGACTCCAACTCAAAAAAAAAAAAAGAATTGATTCATGTAAAACCCCCAGCACTAACATTGATACTAAGCCTGTTCCTTCATTACCATAATATTTTATGCAATTAATTTACTTTGTCATCTCGTAGCATTATTATAAGCACTACATATGTTTAAATATATAAGGTCTAAAATGCACACACATATACAGGTACATACAACATTTGTGTGTGTTGCATACTTCAGCTGTTCCACATAGGTTTACCACAATCTGGCTCTCCCACAACTTCCCCTTTTCATCCCTTTTCAGTAACAACGTATAGATACAGGTTCATATCCAAATGAACGTTCTAATTTAAAGCAACAGAAAGTTAATATTTAGATGCACTGTTCTGATGTCTAAGCAGTTTAAAGGCACTCTCTAAAAAGACTGGCAAGGGATTTATACTGCCAACATGAAACATAATTTATTTCTTTTTCTCTTTCCTTCCTCCCACTCCTCCCTTTTTGCATCTCCTCTTCCTCCTCCTCCTCCTTTTTTTTTTTTTTTTTTAAAGCCTGTGACAGCCTTTTCCCTTTTTAGGTGATGGGGTAAGGTGGCAGACACTTTGGGTTTAAATTCATAAGTATTTCGTAGGTTGCTTAGGGAGCAGCAAATGGTAAGATTTTTGGTTACTTCCAGGCCTACGGTACTGATGTGAGGCCAGCAAGTAGAGCTTGTTTAGCAAGAGCTGTCTATGTTCTTGGATGTCTGGGTGGATGACCTTAGTTGGTTAAAATATGGTACTGGCAGCACTGCCCCAACCAGTTCAATCACTGTGTTGCTGATTAGATTCCTGCTATGAAAAACTTCATTCCTTGACTCCAGCTGGACTGCACAGGGAACAAGAAGGAGCTTACACTGGTCCAGGTGTAACATCACCACTCCTGGATCAACAGTCTTGCCCTCAAGTCATAAATGTGGCATGCGTTTTAAAGGCCTGTGATTGTCCTATGCTGAAAGATTACTCCAGGCCATGGAGAAGCAAGAATCCAACCACCAGGCTCTTTAACAGCACGGATGCACGGATTCGGGCTTCCCTTCCAGACACTCCAAAGTCATGCTTTCCTCCCTTAGTCTCTCTTGTAACTGCCAAGGAAGTAGAGACTCCTGAGTTGGGCTCCAGCACTGACAAGACTGACAGAAGGTTTTGAGGGTGGCGTTTGCAAAACCTATATGCATAGAATTGCAGTACTCTCTCCCCATTTTGAATGGCTCACCTCCAGCAGGCTGTCAAACTTGAATCCTAGCCATTTTATCAGAGGCCCAGAGCATAGAGTCATTAAACTTCTCATTGCTAAATCTTTGTTTTTCTTCTAAACTCTTGTACTCAAGGAACTGATAAGACTTCCAAGGTTGTATGTGTGTGTGTGTGTGTGTGTGTGTGTGTGTGTGTGTGTGTGTGTGTGGTTAATTTTCTAAATACATAAATAAAAATATAATATACAATTTCAATTAGTTAAGCTTTAATGTCCTTCCTGTGTTTGCTAGAAGAAGTCCCCCAAGTGGCTCTGGTAGAGGGAGACAGACTAGAAAGCTAGACAATTAATTGCTCTTTGAGTTGAAGTACTTCTTTACATTATTACTGGGCTCAGGAAAAAACAGAACTCAACTGTCTTGGCACTAAATTAAGAAAAGACTCTTACCTTCTCGCCGATCATTTCTAAGAACCCGCACTTTCTCAATTTTTCCCAAGAGAGCCCCGTCCTCAGCTAGGAACAGAAAAGAAAAGCAGAGCATTAGGAACCCTGAGTTCATACAGGGCTTTTGCGCTCAAGCATAGCGATTCTCCATCATCTAACGGCTGATTATCTCCTTGGGGCACCACAGAGGCACCTCTTTCTGTGGATCTGAATTCTGACTTGTTCACACCTCATTAGCACCTCTGACACAGGGAGGCTGGTGTGAGGAGAAGGGCTAGATAGGGGCGAAATCCCCGTCAGTACTCACGATCATTGCTGTAGTCATCCACCAAGATGATTTCTTTAATGAGATGGGGCGGGCTTTTCTTAAGCACACTGAGAAAAGACAAAAAGATAGAGGTTGCAGGCCTTTTAGGGGTAGGGAGTTCTCATATCTTGGCCCTTCTTGGCTGGAGGAGCCATCTGCCACTCCCGAGGTGCTGAGCACTCGGGCCACCCTGTCCACCCATGGGCAGCCCCGGCTGGACTGTGCCTGAGACACAGCTTGTGTCCAGCATGCCTGGTGGGTGGCGACTCCCACAGGATGCAACAGGTGGCCGACGGGCGACACTTCCTGGTCTCACCTGACTATCGTCCTCAGCAGGGCCGACCTGGCTTCGTTGTGAAACGTGATCACCACACTGGTGGCTGGCAGGTCCACCCGCCACTGCTTCCGCTGACACCTGAAGGGAGAGAAAGGTCGTCCCCTGAATGATGACCCCAGACCAGCCGTGGCCGACTGGGCCCCTGAGAGAACGAGCAGACTGACCTGCCAGGATGGACAGGCTATGATTAACTTGTTATCTGCGGAAGTGACTGGCCTGTTCTGAGATGGAAGTGCCAACAGGACATAAGGAAACAGAAAACACAACCGGAGTTACGTTTCAAGAGAGGAAAGACTGTGGCGAAGAGTAACATATTGAGAACATCTTTCTCACATGTTTAAAAAAAAGTGTGTTTCAAAACAGTGACATTCCATTTCTGCTCGCATGCAGATACACCTCTAGAGATGCGCTTTTCATGAGTTGCAGGAGTGATTTCTGAGGGGCGGAACCAACTGTGCGCGGCTGCTCTTTTCTTACTTCTGTGTTGTCTACAACCAGCGTGCAGTGCTTTTGTGACATCTGGAACTTGGCTCTCCTGAGACCAGATGGCCCACTGCCTGCTTTTCCCTACCCTGGACGGCGGGGACCCACGTCTTCCATCCCACCAGGCCACCTCCAGATAACGGCGGTGCAGGCGAGAGCGGGGTGAGGGGCGGACATCCAGCGGGAACTCGAGCCCGTCCTCCGGGGTAGCGGGAGAGCCCTGGTGTTACTGAGTCGAAGCTGACTTGGGAGACAGGGCTACAAAGCACGGGCAGATTTCAACATGGTACTTCTCAACGGTGGGTCCTCCAGCCACGAGACTGGAAGAACGCTGACGGGCTACATTAACCAATGAAACTCTGACAGCTCCGGCTTATTCAAGTCTCACGCACTAGAAATAAGCAGTAAAGGGAGGGTCGTGAGATCATGATTCATCACGAGGATCCCTTCAGGGCAAGGTCTGTGGACATGAAGAAGACAGAAGTATGATGAGTGCTGCACCCAGAGAGTCCTGAGAGAACAACGCATCTGGGTGGGCTTGTAGCTTGGTGACTGGTGGAGACTATGGTGTGGTTGTACTGAGTCACTAAATGGTGATCTACTGGTACCAGAATGGAAAAAAAAAAGGCTAGTATGGACAGCTGAAGCATCTTGGGCTTCAGGAAACCAGTTTCTGGACAGTCACATCTGATGCCCAGTGGCTCTGAAGATGAAAACGTCTTGCCTGTTGGCCTGCAGGAGGAACTTGCTAGTCTGCCCCATGCAAGCATTTTTTTAATTAATTTTTTTTTGAGTTGGGGTCTCACCCTCTTGCCCAGGCTGGAGTGCAGTGGCACAATCATGGCTCACCACAGCCTCCTGGGCTCAGGCGACCCTTCTGCCTCAGCCTCCCAAGTAGCTGGGACTGTAGGCGCACGTGCCACCATGCCCGACTCATTTTTTAAATTTCTTGTACAGACGAAGTCTCACTATGTTGCCTAGGCTGGTCTGGAACTCTTGGGCTCAAGCAATCCTCCTGCCTTGCCCTCCCAAAGTGCTGGGATTATAGGCATGTACCATCACAGCTAAGCCCAACCCACGGTAGCATTTATTATCTGTCCAACGTTCCTGCAACTCTAGCAGTTAAATATGTTGCCACTGGTATTAAAGAAGTAGAAGACCTTTGTTGGGCTCAGGAAACTATACCCCTGATTATGGCACTGTGGAATTCACAGATCTCAGAAATAAGCCTCAGAACCAAGGTCTCTCTCTCTGACTTTCCCTGCTCCATCTTCCCTCCAGAAGCACAGGAGGGACTTTCTTGAAGTTCCCCATCTGACTGAGGAAAGGTCACTGAGAAGGCAAGAAATGGTCTTGGATGCTGTCCCTGGAATCCACATTCATCAGCGATTACTCATATCGCAGGAAGGAAACGAAAAGACTCCACGCCGAGACGTACTCCCGGGCGGGCTTTTCACCCCTCCTTTGACTTATTCTCCTAAGGCGGAGAGATTTTAGCTGATAACTTTGCTCATGGTGCAGCCCACACCCCACCGCCCCCCGACCCTAAGGGACCTTGCCCCGACTACTGTCTGTTCTTTGGGCCCAGTCACCTCCCCTAAAAATAATCTACTCTTTCTTTTTTACTCAGACAAGGTCTCACTCTAGGCCAGTGTCCAGGGGCACCATCCATAGCTCACTGTAACCTTGAACTCCTGGTTTCTTTAATCCTCCTGTCTCAGCCTCCTCCTGTCTCAGCCTCCTGAGGAGCTGGGACTACAACCACGAGCCACTGTGTGTGGCCGCTTATTCCTCGTCTAGAGTTGCCGGCCTCCCCACTTCCCACTTCTCTGGGGAAAGAATATTTAAGCGTCAACCATCTGGCCGTTCTTTGAGTCTCCCATTTTGCGTGGCTGCTGTGCACACTTGCGCGTTAATAACTTTGTGGGCCTTTCCCTCTGTTAATCTGTCTGCTGTCAGTTTGTTTCCGCAGATCTAAAAACTCACACCTGCAGAGGAGGAGGCAGAAACTCCCTTTACCCCAACATACCTTCCCATATACGTTGGAAAAACTGGTTTTTCTCTTAAGCTCTTAATGCTGTCTACCACAGCCGAGAATGACCTACTCGCAGAATTGAAGATAATACCTACCTTAAACGGGAAGTCAGAGGCAAAAGGTGGGCAAAAGGAAACAAAAACATATGTATCTGGAGCTCAGCCATGCCTGCACACATAAAGCAGCTAAGAACTGAAGTGGATGCTCCAGCAGCTGCCCATGACCAGCAACTTCACTCAAATGGCTGCACCTCCAGAGAAAGCGCTCCACAGACACAAATTTCCCCTCATGACTACTTCAGAGAAGCACATTTTGAAAATAAACAAAAAGCAGGGCAATTAAAAAACAATTAGGTCAGAATTGCAAAACGGGCTTCTTTTGTTTATTGTAGTTTCTGTTTTAATTAATTATCAGAAAACTGTATAACGTACTAGCCACTGTTGCTGGGGGAAAGGCACATCCTGGAATTAATATTGTGGTTCCTCAGAACTATCCTGATGGCTAAGTCTTTACTGACAAGGAGACAGATATGCTGGTTTTCCTTTCTTTTTTTTCCCCCTCCCAATTTTAAAAACAGCGGATTGTTAGATTAGGGAAGTGAGAATCCGCAAGGCTTCAACTGTAAACAAGTTACCAAAGAATGCCATTCCCATGAACCTAATCTGTAATGCTAATAAAATAAGGACTCAGCGGGAGGAGCAGCCAGCCTCGGTAATCAGCGCCCTCTTACCGCAGCGGGAAGTGCCGAGCCGCACAGACCTGGCTTGAAGGCCTTACTGAACACGAACTTCTGCAGCCATGTGAGAATTTAAAAAGAGACACAAGGCAGCATCTTTCATGCTAAATCATAGTAAACGGAACGAGCCAATCATGCCCTATTCTCTCATTTTCCTCTTCTCTGCCAGAAGCCTCACTTCCTTAAGCACTGGGAAGTCTCGGGGGCTCTGGAAGCATTTTTCAGAACATGCAGGGCTGCTGCATTCTCATCACTTTATTAAGATTCCTCTACATATTCATAAGGCTTCAGGTTTTGCTAGAAATTGGCAATCAGGAAACTTAAGAGGAATCTCTTTTTTTTTTTTTTGACTCGGAGTCTCACTCTGTTGCCCAGACTGGAGTGCAGTGGCCGCTCCCGGTTACCGCACCCTCGACCTGCTGGGCTCCGGTGATCCTTCCGCCTCAGCCTTCTAAGGAGCTGGAACTACAGGCGTGTGCTGCCATGCCCGGCTGATTTTTTTTGATTTATTGTAGAGATGAGGTCTCACCAAGTTGCCCAGGCAGGTCTCAAACCCAAAGAAGAATCCCTTTTTTTTTTTTTTTTTTTTTTTTTTTGGCGCATGCCTGTAATTCCGGCTACTCGGAAGGCTGAAGAATCCCATTTTTAAGGCAAAGGCAGATAACAAGTAAAAACCAAGGAATATTTCACAACTCATGAGTTACAGTGAGTGTGCGTATGTATATGAATTTAGATAATAAATCCACACATTGAGCCAAGGGGGGGGGTCGGCTTGAAGAACGTCTTTAAAAAGAAACACATTTTGTATTTAAAGAGCCATATTCCTTCCAACTAGTCTTCACAACTCCAGAGCCAGTGAAAGGACACCCAATATAGCAGCTCATCAGGGGAGCTGGCTGCCAGGGGCACTTTCATACTTGAGATTTCCTTGGGAATTGAGTAGAAACTGTCATTTATTTGAAGTCAGCAGCAGCAGGAACAGTTTGCAGTCAGTTTTATTCTCCCAGATGAGGCAAGCTAGAAGCAGTGTGACACTGAGAAGACAGGACTGATTTTGTGGGCTCAGGTTCACTTTAGCTTCCAAGAGTCTGGTGCTCACATGGTCATTCTGGACACTCCCTGTCCTGGAAAGTGGAGACTTTCAAAACTGGACATGTAAAGATTTTTTATTAAATCCTGAATTTAGCTTTCAGTTTGTCTGAGATTAGAGAGCTACCAGTCTCTGAACCCTTGACTGGCCGGAAAGTGGGGGCGGGGACAGGTGAATCGAAACAGCAGTGTGCTCCTGAGCCTCAGAGGATGAAAGAATGAGTTTGCCTTTGGGGAAGATTCGTCTTTGACGCAGATGTTATTCTCGGGTCCATAAAGGCGTTGATGAAACAATCAAATGCAAGCGCTTTGAACTGGGAAATGAGGGCTTCTCTCCAATACCGTACAGGGCTCTTTCCTCGAGTGGGGAGGAAGACAGTGTGTGTTTCCTACCCCAGTGTGCCATGCCCTACCCGCCCCCAGCCTGTCCAGTGCTTCTGCAAAGGGCTGGCTGGCAACCTTGGTTACTTACTGTGTGATCTGAGGCAACACACATCCCTCCTCATCTGTGAAAACAGCCCTTACCCTCTTGCAAGGTTACTGGGAACACCAAACAAAAATGTGTGAAAAAAACTCTGGAGACGGGCCAGGCCACTGTTAGGAACGCAGGGCTGTAAAGCACATTTGGAGTCAATGGTAGCTGTCATCAGGGCACTGAGGTGAGAATGGAGCTTTCTGCAGGAAACTGAAGATGGGGCCACTGACATGGGCTCTGGGTTGCACTTCCAAGACCACATGCAGCACCTCCGAGTCTGGAAAGGAGAAGGCTGCGGGGTCTGCAAGAGAGCTCAGTGGATGGAAAGGGAGGGACAGACGAAAAACATCTTCAAATAAAAGAGAGAGAGAGTTTGAGAACCTCTGCAAAGCCCAGGAAGGGCTATGCCCAAGAGCCAGACTGTAAGGTCGGAGGCACCGGAGGGCGGGGCGGGCCTCGCCTCAACAAGACGGCTCCAACCCAGACCAGGAGAACAATGGGCGAAAGCGAGCCCGCAAAAAAAAAGGAGTGACCGGAACTGAGACTCCAGCCACAAAGCCAGCCAGTACCTGTTACAGTGACTCTAGCAACCCTGTTCAGCCAGTCGCCAGCAGACATGGCAGCTGTCCCAACAGTGATGGCTCTCCCCAACCCCCTCACAGCTTTCTCAGCGTGCCCTTTACAAACCATCGCCCATCTTGCTGGGCGCGACTTCTCCGGCCCACAGCTACACGGGCGGTGAATCTCGCCCGGGACTGCGCTAATAAATGTTTCTTGGCTCCTTTGTTGCCATTTCGCCTGGTCTGGTTTCACTGACCTTACAAAGACCACACCTGATTATGAGACAGCCACAAAGTCCACAAGGAAGGTCACAGGTGAGAAAAATGACTAGGTGAATGAATACGCTCCGCCCCCCATTTTACTCAGATGTTTAAAGGGAAATGCTAAGCAATTAAGTTGATTAGTAACTAAGCATCAGTTTATGTTCACATGAAGACAGGTTTCTATCACGGATGAGATGGGAAATAGACAAACTTTTTTTTTTAGAGGGGAAAACATAGTTTCTTTAGAAAGTAAATTAGAGAGAGAGAAGAGGGAGGAGATTCACCTTTTTGAGGCAGCGAAAAGAGTCAAAGGATAGAAGACATGGTGGTGGACATAGCTCAAAGAGCACACGGCCACACCAGCGTTTAGTTAAAGCAATGGCTGACAAACTAGTTAAAAATTAAAGAGGGAAGTTAAAAACCAATGTGGAGCTTCCCTGGACACTTCCTGGCTCCTCAGAGCTGAGGGCTGTGCTCACTTCCTCTCTGCAGCAGGCAGGGCACTACCCATGGAATCTCGTAGAGGGTTGCCTTCTGATTCAGATTTGCAGTTCCATGTAGGAGCAAATCTGATGGCAACAGAGTTCCGACATGCCCATCTCC